AGGAGAATAAAAAATAAGAAAAATGAATAAACAAGAAAACATAAATCCTGAATAGATTTTAAAAATGCTGAATATACCACAAGTAATGAATACCACTGATGTGTTTTATTTAAAACTGACTTGCTCGTGTGTAATTTGGTTATTCCACATTCAGTGTTAATGCAGAAATAAGTTTGTTTCCAAATTTAAAGGTTCAACATTGCATACATGTTGATAAAGAAAATGTGCAAATTTGCCGTCACTTTTTCAAAAAATATTAAGTTTGGCCCTCGACTCCGTCCCAGAGTTTCATTTCGGCCCCGTGTGAGTTTGAGTTTGACACCCCTGCCTTATGATGATGAAGATAAATGGAAACAGCTCTGGCTCAGGAACCAGTTTCCTCGAGAGTGGTTGGACTTTTTACCACTCTTAAGTTGCTCCCACTGAGAGGCGCCGAGCAGGAGTGGGTGGCCTCCCTCCACCTGTGTGTGGAGGGACAGGTCATGACTGTGGTTTGTTCTTATGCACCAAACTGCAGCTGAGACTAATCACCCTTTTAGAGTCCCTGGAGGGATGCTCCTGGTGATTCCCTCGTTGTCTAGGGGGACTTCAATGCTGTCAGAAACGACAGTGAGACCTGGAGAGGTTTGGTTGGAGAAAATGTCCCCCTGATCTGAATATGAGCAGTGTTTGTTTTATTTATTAGACTTCTGTGCTTGTCATGTATTGTCCATAATGAACACCATGTTCAAGTATAAAGGTCTATATGTGCTCTTCTTACAGTATCACCACAATACTTTAGGCCAAAGTTCGATGATCAACTTTGTTGTCATTTAATGTGATCTATGATTGCATGCCTTGGAAACTCAGGTGTTGTAGAACACTTTCAGACAAATGCCAATGCTCGGGAGCGACGTACCATCATCTACATTGACAATATTCTGATTCGTAAACGTACTTTGGATGACCACCTGTCTGAGCTGGATCACGTTATGAATCAGCTCACAGCTACAGGTGTGAAAATATCCCTCACCAAAGGTCAGTGGTGCAGGTTGGAGGTACATTTTGTAGGCCTCCTTGTGGGACCACAGGGAGTGCCGCCTCAACATGGTAGAATCCAGGGTGTTGCCACCATCAATGTGCCAACGAATGTCTCTGAACTTCTGAGCTTTCTGAGTGTGTGCAACTACTCTCACCAGTTCGTAGAACACTATGGAGAGACGGTGAGACCTCTGACTGCCCTGCGGAAAAAGGATGTGCCTTTCGAGTGGACTAAGCGGCAGCAGGTCATGGATGACTTGAAGGCCACGTTGTGCTCAGCTCTGTGCCTGGCACTTCCTGATTGTGACAAAGAGTTCCACTTTGAAGACGGTGTTTGAGTTTGGTCTCTATCAGGTGTATGACTGCGACAGGCGTGTCATAGCCTATGCTAGCAACATCTTGTCCGGTACCGAGTTAAAATGCTCTGACTATGAAAAAGCTTCGCTTTCCACCATGTGGGTGGTTTAACACTTCTCCAGCTACATCGGTGGACAGAAAATCATCATTGAAACTCAACATCAGCCAGTGGCCTTCCTGAACAGTCAATGCATCAGAGATGGTGTGGTGACCAACGCATGCATTGCTTCATGGCTGCTAGCTCTTCAGAGCTTTGACATTGAGGTTCGCTGCACCTGAAACCACCGTAGTCCTCTTGGCATGGGTCTGGCTGCGTGCCAGCAAGGCTCGGACGATGCTGCCGTGTCAGTCCTGCCTACCAACCCTCCCCAGACCCGACTGAACCCCAACCACCACTACTTCGACCAAGCTCTCTGCGTGGATTTGCCAACTGTGTACGTTGATGGCAGTTCCTTTCGAGGCAGTGCTGAACCTAGTTTAGGCGTGGGTGTCGTTTGGTTATACGCTAACCAGAAAGACTCTTGGTGCTACCAGTTAGGTCCTAAGACCTCACAGTTTGCAGAAGTGGCTGGGATACTGATAGTGGTACAACTTGCTGCTGACCGTGGTGTCCGCGAGCTGCTGATCTGCACCGACTCGAACTGCACACGTCTCGGTTTTACCTGCCACCTACCCTCTTGGAAAAGTAACGGGTTCTTAACCTCACATGACCACAACCTGGCGACCTCACATGACATGAGTGTCAATGGGAAAATTACCCGACATTAAGCTATATGCTGTTCAGAACAATTTGGAGTTACGCATTTCCGGCAAACCATATTAACTACTTCACTGTTCAAATGTAGCAGCATGTGTTAACATTAAACTCATTTTTACAGGTCTGAACTAAAAATGTCTTCTTCCTAAGGTACCTTTCTTCCACCTTTTCTCTCCATGTAGTTTTCTTTTACTCGTGAGAGCAACGCACCGCATGGAAGCCGGCTCCTTCGCAGACGGGGGGAAAATGGCACTGCAGTACTGGTTTTTCAAAGTAAAATAAATTTTAAAGTTTCGCTATATTTTAATTCATTTAAAACTGATTATGGTTAGTATACATGGACAAATACAGACTATATATATGTCTCATATTTACATTGTTTTAATGTATATCCAAAAAATTAATTCTGAAGGTACGTCGTTTTCATTTTTTTTTTATCCTTCTGAAGTCATGACGGCAAAATACACATTGCAGAAACACTGGATTTAGCTTGTTTGTTTATTTTACTCAAGAATAAGAGATTAAATTATTCCAAAAGCAGTTCAATGTAGTTAAATTAGTCATTCAGATGATTCTACAAATGCTGCAGTGTGTGTGTGTGTGTGTGTGTCTGTGTGTGTGTGTGTGTGTGGTACATATAGGACTTCCTGGGACAGCTTGGTTTCATGAAATTGTCTCAATAGTGTCTACGATAATGTCTACAATGAGGTTTGTCATGAGAACATGAAGATACCGCACATACTGATAGCATCTAAAACTTTTTTTTTGGTCAAAATAAAGAATAATTTTAATCACATTTGAAACGTACAATCCTGGAAAAACCTCATCCAATCAATGTGCACGTCCTGTTCTCACTGATGGGATCAAAATCCCTCCATCAAACTGTGTGTGTGTGTGTGTGTGTGTGTGTGTGTGTGTGTGTGTGTGTGTGTGTGTGTGTGTCTGTGTGTGTGTGTGTGTGTGTGTGTGTGTGTGTGTGTGTGTCTGTGTGTGTGTGTGTGTGTTGTGAACTGGCGTTGTGATTTTGCACTGCTTAGGTGTAGCCATCCTTACACTGACAAAAATGCAACTAAGTAACTTTTTCTTTTGAGAACATTTTATTTACAATACTTTTTACTTTTGTTTAGTAAAAATTTAGGCAAGTACTTTTACTTGTACTTTATTAAACAATAATCAAAGTATTAGTACTCGTACTTAAGTGGGAAATGTTAGTACTCTTTTCACATCTGGTACCTACACAGTAGCTGTTTCTCTAAGTATTGCTACTTTATATTATTATTTTATCATGATTATATTCTTACTTCCTACTTTTGCTCATCTATTTTTTTTTTTTGCACCAAGTACCGCAGCAAATTCCTAATGTTCTGATTCTCCACACATGGAAATAAAACCTTCTGAGGGCCACTCTACCATAAAGCCCTGACTGGTGGAGGGCTGCAGTGATGGTTGACGTTCTACAACTTTCTACCATCTCCTGACTGCATCTCTGGATGTCAGCCATAGTGATCTTTGGGTTTTTCTTTACCTCCCACCAAGGCTATTCTTCCCCAGTAGCTTGGTTCGGCCTACTCTAGGAAAGGTTCTGGTCTTCCTCAACATCTTCCATGGGGCGACAGTGGCACAGGAGTTAAGGGCTTGCTCCGTAATCGGAACATTGCAGGTTCGAGTCCCACACATCCTATTGCTGTTGTTGTGTCCTTGGGCAAGACAGTTAACCCACCTTGCCTGCTGGTGGTGGGAGGGACTCAGATCAGCGATCATGTATTGAGTCGGACTCTTTGGTTTCTCTTTTATGGCTACTGTCGGCCGTAACCCACGCCTTACAAACTTTTATAACAGAATTGCTCGTAACAGAACTAGAACAACCTCTCCGGCCTGCTGAACTCACATTCAAAATAAAAGTTAACTCTATTGTTAACTATTGAAACCGTTGCAACATGTTTGAGATAACTTGACTGCTTCGGCTCTCCGTAGCGGTTTCTTGACTACACGCGGAAGGGGTTTGGCCCGTCTCTCCGCACAAAAAGAATAATCAGAAATCTGTTGGCAGCCACGGCGAAAGGCTCGCGGAAACAGGGTTCCTACAGGTTTCATCAAGTTAAATTCAAGACTTTAAGACCTTTTCAAGACCACATATGTAAAAATTCATTCCTATTTCACAGCCCTACCGGCAAAAAATAAATCCTTGAACTTGTGTTCATTTATTTACCTTTTGGGTTTTTTTATATTTAGCCTAAACACGCGGTAGAGAACAGTAGCAGAACGGTTTGAGCTTCCACAGAAAGGGTAGCTAGCTAATGTAAAACACGTGTTTAAAATACAACAGCGTCAGTAGGGCTGGGTACCAGTAGATACTTCTTGGTTTCTTTAACGATACATGGTTTTCAATGGCAGTACCTTAACAATACTTTTGTTGAAATTTATATTTTCTTAATTTAAAGAGATAAACTACATAAAAGTTTAGTTCTCATTGTTTATTGTACACATATTGGTGTTGCGTGTCTCCGTACCGACGCAGACGGAGAAGTATAAATTTGGCTTTACGGTCTCCGTCGCTTGTGACGGACAGTTATAAAACAGGGCCATCACCTCTTGCGGGCCTGTCGCAGAGTCTGTACATCAATGAGTCATAGCATGTTTTTTGTACTCACTCAGAAGGTGAAATATAAATTAGGCTTTAGTACTAACATTGTGTTAATCAGACACCAGTCATGCGGGTATTACACATTACGTTACGGCCTTTGTTTTTATACATGGATGCATTAATGTGCTGGAACACAGGATGGCCTTCTACAGGTCAATCAGGAAAAGCAAACACCTGTAATGAAGGTAATGAAACCATTTGGCATCAAATGCATGGATATACCTGGAAATCAGGAATATGGACAGGAAAGAGCTGGCTGCCTCCATCAGGTCATCATCCTGATCTCCAAAGAGCAAGCTGATCCAGCAGCACAGGTGAGTGACCTCCACCTGGGAGGCATAGCTCCGCCTCAAGAAGCCCCACAAGCTGTGTAGATGTCCACAGACGTCAGTGGTCCCATCCACTTCTGAGAGGACAGAGAGCATCACACATAGAGCTGAAACAAATTAGCTAGAAGTTCAACTGAATCTATTCTTACATTTTTTTTATTTACAGTTTAAACTGACACTTGACTGAATTCATCACTTCCGGGTTAAACAAACTCGTTACAGTTCGGGTTACATGTGACAGACGAGCACGCTCACGCTGTAGCGCCAGCAGAGGAAGCAACAAGGCAGCTGCAAGGAAGACAACCCCCAGAGAACACGGCAAAACTTTCCCAAATGCGGGAATATTTCAAACTTCAGCTGACAGTCAAGACTGCAAGCGTAGCGCTAAGCTAGCACTACATTAGCCGCTCCATTACAATTAGACCACATTTTTAAAGCTAATGAAAAATAAAGGCTTATCCAATTAATCAACCAATTACTGTGGCAGATTAATCTATTCTTAAATGAAGTGATGCAGCCTCAGCTCAGAGGGAGGAGAGTTGGCTTGTGAAACTGTCGCATCCTCATGTTTGAGGTTCTACATCCTGCAAAAGCCCTGGGGTCTCATTCATAATATAGTTGGAGGTACCAGAGCTTCATCTGATACATCTAGTCTGGCTGTAGTGTTCTGCTCATTTGTGGATCTAATTTTCTGAGACTGAATTTGAGATTTGCATTAGTTGTCAGTTAAAATCATCACAATTAAAGAAATAAACATTTGAAATACATCAGTTTGTGTGTAATGAATTAATCTAATATACGAGTTTAACTTTTTGAATAGAATGACTGAAATAAATACATTTTGTCATGATTTTCTCATTTTAGGAACAGCACCCGTATTTCTGATTTTTGTAGATTTTATTATATAATTGGGTTAGGGTTAGGGAAATATACCACTTCTTATTTTTTAATCGTGTCTTCTTAATCTTTCCATCAATTTCAGGAGCAGATGAAACCTTCTAACAAAAAATGTTTTTTCTAGCCAGCATCAAGTCCAGTGCAGGACCACCAGAGCTGAATTCTTACCTGCTTGTAACTGAAGCTCTATGGACTTGAGAAGGACGAGGCTGAGCGCTCTGAGCATCACTCCATCTGGCTTTGGGCCTTCATCTACTAGAATGTGTTGAGCTCCTCCGAAGGAAGCTGCTGGCTCAGTTTGAATCCTCTGTAAACAACCAGCAGTCACAGCTTGTAGCACATGCCGAGTCAGCAAACTCATATCAGAGCTCAGACTCTTGTATCTCAGTCTAAAGGACATCCCATCTCGTGGAAACCAGTCATCTCCAACCTTCTGAAGAAGAACTTTCTTAAGGAACAGAAGGATTTTCTTTCTAATAAAGACCTCTGAGCAGTAGCTGATGACTGTTAGGAGAGCGGAGGAGTGAATCAGAGCTATTCTCTGACTCCTCAGGCAGACCTCTGATTCACAACTAATACTGGACATTGTCAAGGCCTCCAGGAGGTCCAGGAAGAGGCAGAATGTTGTTGTCCAGGACTTGGTGAAGGTAAAGATGTCCAGAGTCCTCTCTCTCTTCTCCTCAGGGAGCAGCTTTGAACATAAGACCATGATGCTGCCATCAAAAACTGCCACGAGGTTCCTGACAGTCTCTGGTGGAGAAGAATAAAGGAGTCAAAAACAACACCTGGAGCTCTGTTCTGGTCTTCAGGTTCAGCTGTGTGATGCAATCTCCTGCAGGTAAAATGTTTTCATGTGTTTCACTGAAAATGAGGATTACGATTAGGATTTGGGTAAAAGATGAGAAGATGCAGGCCTTATGAGGTCAGTTCTATTCATCTGTGAAGCCTGATGAATCCAATCAGTCTACAGATATGTCTTCAAGTCCAAGGGCCTCCTTGAGGAATCTATTCCAACCTATAAAACACTGTACATGCACAGCTGCTCACAGTTCCTGCTTTATTTAAGCTCTTCCTAGAAATGTGCTCTGGTGTTGATCGTTTTCCTCCTCAAACACACCAAAAGTTAGAGATTTTCCACGGTAACTACTTTTTCTTCCTGGGTTAGGGTTTCTTCCAAATCCACTTGTTCACGAACTTCTGAAGAGCAAAGTGACTGATTGGTACTTTTAGGAGGAGTTGGCAACTTAGACATGTTGTTAGCCATTACCCAACTATTGCTGCTTGTATCTATTCTGAGATCAACATGACTTTTGTTAGTATTCAGTAGGCTTATTTGGTCTTTTGTAGGTTATCAGCACCTACAGAAGTACAACCTGTTGATGTCCACACATTATTTTCTTGACCATTTCCTTTTCAGAAGTTCCTGCACAAATTAAATTGTTGTAGATCTACACTGAACAAAAATCTAAACGCAACACTTTTGTTTTTGCTCCCACTTTTCATGAGCTGAACTCAAACATCCAAAAATGTGACTACACACACTGAACACCCATGACTCTCACATATGGTCCTGAAATCTGTCTTCATGTGTGTTAGTGAGCACTTTTCCTTTACCAAGATAATCCATCCCACCTCACAGGTGTGGCATATCAAGGGGCTGATTAGACAGCATGAATAATGTACAGGTGTGCCTCAGACTGCCCACTATTGTAATAGAATTGTAAATTCTGGTGATGCCATGATGCGTGAGCCCAAAATTCTAACTTCCAGCAGGAAGTCTCGCATTAGTTGGGAACAAGGCATGCCCACTTGTCACAGAATTGAATTGACCAGATAATCAAACTACAAAGTGTTTGATGGTGACTTAGCTCAACCAGGTCAGGGGTGTACGTTAACATTTTAGCTTATAGCACTGGTGCTACGAAGATCGTAGGGTTTGTAGCACAGAGCAAAAAGTTGTAGCACCAGCATAAAAAGTTTGTTACAATCTCTAAAAACCAAAAGTATCTCTTACAATTACTTAAACACACTGACAAAAAACAGTGCATATAATTAAAACACTATAAAAACCACCAAAGCTAATTCCTGGTAGCTGAGTCTAACTCACGTACTTGACAATAAAGCTGATTCTGAAATATCTCGTCAGTGTAATAAAAACTAATTTTCTTTTATTAAATTAGTGTAGATTTGTTCATTACAGAGGTCCGTCCTCAACGACATTGACATAGATGAGTAGGCACCACGCAGATTACTACTGTGTATGATAGTCGCATTTTCGTGGTCTACTTTTATAAACTGTATGGTTAACAGGATGTTTTAGCTAAGGCTTTAGCTCCGTGGAGATCTGGAGCTCTCAAACTGTGGTACAGCACCGTTCATAAACCCGCTCACACACCAGAATAAGAGCTCACTTTAATATTCATCAGGCAAAATACGTGAGTTTGGTTTATGTTCACACAAAAAAGAAACTTACAGGTTCACGAATGATTGTTAAATGAACTTGTTCAAATACAACACCACCGTGCTGTATTTTGGCTCTTGGATATTTTAGTATTTGAATATTCTATTGAATCTTCGGATTAATGGAATATTCCATTTTGCATGTTTCAAGTGAAACGAGACCGTGGTCTGCTGCTAAAAATATGAAATAAAACTATAATTATGAGGCTGAAATGTCAGACTCTTGTTATAAAAGGCTCAATAGGGAGCCTAAAGGTTGGTTTATGCTTGACGCGTCCGCGAGGTCCGCACGGCTCCGCGCGGAAAAGTCGCGTCATTTTAACAACCACGCCCCGCCACCGCGCCTCCGCACGGCCCAGAATTTCCGCAACGCGCACCTCGGAAAATTTCTAACCACGCGGACGGACGGACACGGAAAAACATGGCGGACCGGCAAGAACTAGTATGGCAGAGGTTCATAAATACAGACATTTGTATGATTCAGCTCTCAGAGATCACCGTGATCAACATGTTGTTAATAATTCTTGGAGAGAAATAGCTCGCACTGTCGGAAAAGACGAGGACACTGTTAAAAACTGCTGAAATGCCATGTTGTAAACAGTAATTTCTACTTCTACTATGGTGTAGAGTTGGGTGCATGCCGTAGAGCTCCATGCTGCCCCCTGCAGTTTGGGAGAATATTGGCTCACCGCAGAGACGAGCCGCACAAAGCATAAACGCTGCGAGTTGTGAAGCGCGTTCCATCCGCGAGCCGCATCACCGCGCGGAAAGTGAATGCGTCAAGCATAAACCAAGCTTAAGGCTCTACCCCTTCCGGTCGGCTCATGGGTCCCCGGAAGAACGAAAAAATGAATGCAAGTCAACGGGGCAAAAAGAGTTATTTTCTAATCTGCTTTGCCTTACGCGCTGGATCACACATATGTTGTACTTATAATTAACTCACTGACTGCCGGCTGTTTCCTGATCAGTAAAGCCCTTCGCTGCCATCGTTTTTCAGCATTTTCACAGTTTTTTAAAAGAGTAACAGAACGTTGAGCGCTAAGATGATGTCAACGCCCAAACTACCAAAACAAAGAGGAGACTCACCTCTTACATCAGGAAGAATCCGCACGTTCCGAGCGTTATCGGTTCTTTCATAATCCATTGTTGAATTGTGATCGTCAGAAGCTTTTCCTGTTAGCGCCTGACTTTTTTTTACAGCAGCAGCCCAAAACGATCTCCTAACACATGGATTTTCTGCTTCCTGATCATGTGACATGTGACGTGCTTCGATGAAGCTTGGCTTTAGAGCTGAGATGTTTGTTCTCACCGCGCGGGGGCTCAGTCCGACGCCCACACAGTAAAAAAATGCAAATTAGGGCTGCAACAACGAATCGATAAATTCGATGAAAATCGATTACTAAAAGCGTTGGCAACGAATTGCGTCATCGATTCGTTGTGTTGCGCAACTCTTCCAAAAGCCCCCTCCCCTCCCGCCCGCCGTTGCGCGCAGACCGGTGGAGAGCCGGCAGGTGTTTGCAAGAGGAACATGGCAGAAGCAGCGAGACCCCAAAAAAGTAAAAACTTCTAAAGTTTGGGAGCATTTTCAGTTAAATCAGGCGAAGACATGCAACGTTTGTAGGTCAGACTTAGCATGGCACGGGGATACTACAGTGATGATGCAGCATCTTAAACGCAAGCATGTCAGAATCATCAGCGAGGAAGGAGAGAGCTCGGTGTCCGGGTAAGTTAAAAACTTTTCAAAAGTGATTCACCCAAGCCCCGGATTATTACACAGGCTAGACATGCCCTAAGCTCGTAAAAAAAAGTCTATAAAATTGTAAGCGCAACGCTATTAGATAGGCGGGGCACTCGCGCTGCTGCGAACCGGTTCCGCCGTCACATTCCCGCAGAAACTGGTTGATCACACCGGGGCCAGACTACTAACATGTGGCTTTACAACCACAATGTCCTCAGAAGCGAAAACGCTTTTATAAGGGAGGGAGGAGTCCTAACTGTTGCTGCAGGCGTGTTGTGTGAGAGTGCAGTTATATACTGGTTAATATATGTTTGGGTTCAGTTGCTTTCATGTGGCCTAATGTGAGTCTATTTGGGATCATTGGAATGATCAGCAGCATTTCTTGATGTGACTTTATGGCAGTTGCCCAAGGAGGATGGCATTCATTTTCTTTTGTTTTATTTGGTATTTTTTCAGTCATTTTTGGAAATAGTGATTAATTTTGATTAATTCACAGCCTATATTTAATTACATTTAAAAATGAGTTGTTTGACATCCCCAATTATAATAAATGTCTACAGATGAGATCAAACAAAACAGATGAGAATTGCCCTTAAAGAGCAAGTCACCCCCAAATAAACTTTTTTTTGCTGATGAACTAAATAAACGAGTGTCTAATCGTGCTGCAGACGCGTGTCGTCAATAATTTGGCACTTCAGTGCATCTTAGTTAAAATTTAAATATTCTGCCTAAAACTGGCAGTGTTGTGCCGTTGTCAGGTAAAAACTCTGCACTGTATTTTAATTTAAATCTGCCACTGCTATTGGCTATGATGTAAACTGGTACATTATGATGTCACAATGCTGTCATGAGCCTGAGTGTGTGTGTATTTGTTAGCGGCTCCGCCCTCTCGGTCTGCCAGGCAACAGCATGTGTTGCATTTTTCAAACATGAAGTGGGAGTGGAGTTAGACTCTGGTAGGGGTTGACTTGCTCTTTAAGCTGTTTAACTTGGACCAAGCATTTTAGGTCACAGATAGGTGTAGCTTAGGGTCTCTGTCTATACACCTTATAAGACAATTTAGGTGATGGCATGTTGTTTTTCTGCTATTGAACTGTTTTCTAATAATGTTGTGTTTAATAAAGTGAAGGAAGGAGAAAAATAACGTTTCCCTAGCAGTTTTTAAAAATGTCCCCATGTAATCCGATTAATCGATTAATCGTGTCGAGACCCCATCCGATTAATCGATTATCCAAATAATCGTTTGTTGCAGCCCTAATGCAAATGATTACTTTAATCGTCAATGGCAGTGAATGAGTTAAATGAAAAGTAATGATGGGTGTTTCAACCACGCCAGTCATGTACTTTGAGATTTATCAGCTTGTAAAAGTTTGCTGTTGGCATGACTACAAATTAGACATCGGCTCGTCGCATATACAACGCCCGCATCACTGCAAATGCAGCACCAATCTGCCTATCGATCTCACGCTCCAGTTTTCCCTCACTCGTGAACAAGACCCTTTATGTAAGCCAGGTAAGCCAGGTAGATCTAATATAAAATCTAGTGTTGATGGTGGACAACTACAGCTAATATCCTGCAGGAGTCTGTGCTGCATGTTCCCTTTTCTTTTTCACGCAGGAGCAGGGTCCGAAATAAAATTTTTTACTCACCGGCCAAGTTGGCTGGTAGGTGATGAAAATCTACCGGCCAAGCATATTTTTTACCGGCCAAAATTCTAAATGATTTAGATCTACCTAAAGCATGTAATTCTATATTATGTTGATTCCAAACAGAGTGACAAAATAATTAAAACATCAATTAATAAGGAAAACAACTCTTTTGTCATTTTTACTATTTATTTATTTATTTATTTATTTTTAGAGATGTTTTTATGAACTCTTTCATTCAAATCTAGTCAGACTCCTTGTTTTCTCTGTCCATGAAGTCTGGCCTCCTGCTTCTGACACCGTCTTTGTGCCAAAGCATTACAGCCTCATTTGGGTCATAGTCCTTGATCTCTGGAGAACACAGCTGCACCATGAGAATATCTGAAAGTGTGTCAGGGCTAGGGTTGTCACGGTAACCGGTGTAGCAGTAAACCCCGGTAAAAAAGTTGACAATAATAATAACCGTCTTGTTTTAAAAAAAATTATCTCGGTGGGTTTACCGTGACTGCAGTGTAGGCACGGTGACCCTTACCAGCCACCGTATCATCTGCTGAAGTTGCCGGTGGCACATGCGTACTTTGTTGTTTATAACCAAAACTTTCTAGAAGCTAAAGCTGAAATAATGGCCAAAGGAGGAGACGGCAGCGCTCTGGACATTTATTATCCCTCAAAGAAGACAAAGTGGGAAGTACGGGCATTTTTTGGATATTTGAAGAATGCCGAGGGACAGCTGATAGAAGACGGCTATTCTGTTTGCAGCACGAGCAGAAAAAGTGTCTGTGAAAGGCAACGCTTCAAATCTCATGACACATCTGCATGGCCATCATAATGTAGCCATTGTCTTACGACTCCGCCATCTCCAGTTCGCCACTTTTCACAAAATCTTCTGGTTGCCACTGGTCCTGGTGGTTTTTCTTCCAGTTCGACGAGTTTTCTTTTGGAAGGCTGGCTGACTCCAGTTAAAAACCGCCATATTTTACCGCTAGTTTTAACACGAAGCTAACTGCTAACTTGATAAACTGAATGAATGGGATAGGTGGAAATGACGTTGGATGCGGCGCTCACGTTTCGCGTACGTTTGTGTACGCTGCATGCAGGTGAGAGGAGTATCAGAAATCCATGGAAGATGACTGATAAACATAACTAATTTGGTGCAAACATTTACTTGCTATGTGGCAGATAGAGCTCAAAAATTTACTCGCCAAATGGAGCAATTTGCTCGCATTTGGTGAGTGCCGAGTGTTAATTTCGGACCCTGCCCAGGAGTGACATAGCTAATTCTGCTGAAAGAAATTCACTGTTTAATGAGAGACAGCTGGTGAAAATGATGTGTAAATAAGTAAGAACGCATGTAGACCTACATAACTAAGCAAAACTTCAACACCAATATAAAATATATAATATATATGTTTTCACTTTTTTTCTCACTTCGCATCTTGAAGGATGGAGCTCCAGCGCCCCCTATGGACGAGCCGCCAGGGGGCCCAACTTGATATGTTTTCATGGGGCCCAAAATCTTTGGCAGCCCCCCTGGACAGTGGGCGCTGAAGGCACTGGTCTAAGACATTCTGCAATATAATGAACTGATGTACCTGATGGGCCTAATGTCTGTATGAATGGAGTGTGACATAACTTCTAAAATCATTATTTTATTTAAGAGAGGGGGTGAGTTTTGATAGTTGTGTCTGTGTGTGTGTGTGTGTGTGTGTGTGTGTGTGTGTGTGTGTGTGTGTGTGTGTGTGTGTGTGTGTGTGTGTGTAGACTTGTCTTTATGTTTAAGTGGACACATTTTGACGTAAACCTGTAATGTGTGGACATTTCCACATTATGAAGATATTTTGCTGGTCCACACAACGATAAGCACTCTAAGACTTAATTTTAAAGGTATGGTGTGAACTAAATTTTAGTTTATAGTAATAATAATAATAATAATAATAATAATGCATTGAACTTATATAGCGCTTTTTAGGACACTCAAAGACGCTTTCACACACCCTCACATTCACACACTGCCAGTGATGGTAAACTACTTTGTAGCCACAGCTGCCCTGGGGCGGTCTGACAGAGGTGAGGCTGCCATTTGGCGCCATCGGCCCCTCTGACCACCAACAACAGTTTAGGTTAGGAAAAGACCACCACTGGTTAAGGTTAGAGTTAGGATATGGGTTAGGCATAACGGAGTCACTAAAATGAATGGAAGTCAACAGAGGTCCACACAAACATATAAATACAAGTGTGCGCGTGCGTGCGTGTGTGTGTGTGTGTGTGTGTGTGTGTGTGTGTGTGTGTGTGTGTGTGTGTGTGTGTGTGTGTGTGTTTAATTCTTATGCTTAAGATCTACTGTCTGCACAAACCTTGAGAAGGTCCTGTCAAAAGCCTTTTGAAGACTTCGATAAGAGACCACAGGCAGGCATCGACCGCAGGACCGGGGGGACAGCTGCTGAATACCTGAATGCACGTCTTCTGCCAGACAGGACTCCACATGCCCTGAGAAGTTTAAGTGTATGGTTTATATAAAAAAGAGAAGAAAATACAACACATGCATCAGAGCATAAGATGAGAAATTAATGAATGAAATCTTTATTTCGAACATTATAATAAAAATAAAAATAACTATTATAACAATAGTAATAATAACAAAGTCATTGTAGACATTAAAAATAAAATCACACTGATAATCACACAAAAATTAAATTATCATGTTCTGTTAGAAAAGAAGTAGGAGGAAGCTAGCGCTTATTAAATCCTGCCCCCCCCCCCCCCCCCCCCCCACACACACACACACACACACGTTCTCCTAATTCATCATAAATTTTCAAAATTCATCTATAGTCAAATGGCCCATGCAAAATTGTTCTACATACCTTTTCCATTTATCCACCACACACAGCGATTAACATTCCCTACTACACATACTTACAACACACCCCATTTTCTTTTGTACACTTACACCCTCACACCACTCATTGGATCTTTTTGAGTCAAACTCCCTCTTCCTCCCCGTACCTCATGAAGACCATATTTTTGTACCCTTTTCTAAATTGGGTTATACTTGGACATTGCTTTAAATCACTATTTAATCCATTCCATAATTTTACTCCACAAACAGAGATGCACTGACTTTTTACTGTTGTTCGCACAGACGGGTGGTTTAAATTCCATTCCTCTCTCAAATTATATTGTTTATCTCTATATGAGAAATACTTTTGTATATTACCAGGGAGTAGTTTGTCATTAACTTTATATATTATTTGTAATGTCAAGAATTGAACAAGGTCATTAAACTTTAATACTCGTGATTTCAAAAGCAGGTTGTTAGTATGATCTCTATAGCCCGCTTTATTAATAATCTTGATGGCTTTCTTCTGTAATATTATTATTGGTGATAATGTAGTTTTATAAGTGTTGCCCCAGACCTCTGCACAATAATTTAAATATGGTTGCACCAGCGCACAGTATAACATGTGAAGTATATTGCGATCTAGGAAATGTTTCACTTTATTTAATATGGAAATACTTCTTACAGTTTTGTTGTGAATATGTTTTATATGTTGTTTCCAGCTAATTTTTTCATTCATTATAACACCCAGACATTTATAATGATTCACCCTTTCAATAGTTACACCAACAATATTCATCACAATTTGGGTGTTTACTTTGTTATTCCCGAATAACATGTATTTTGTTTTACTTAAATTCAATGATAATTTATTTTTATCAAACCATTTTTTTACTTTAAACATTTCTGCAGAAAGTCTTTCCATTAGCTCGTTTAATTTTTCCCAAGAACAAAAAATATTTGTGTCATCAGCAAACATTACAAAATTCAATATTTCTGAAACCTTACAAAAATCATTAATATATAGAATAAATAACTTTGGACCCAATACTGAACCCTGTGGTACACCACAAGCAATGTCCAAGTATGTTGACGAAAACTGTCCCACTTTCACAAATTGCTTTCTGTGGCTCAAATAACTTGTTAACCACTTCAAAACAATCCCCCTAATCCCGTACCGTTCTAATTTGTTAATTAAAATGCTATGATCAATTGTGTCAAAGGCCTTCTGAAGATCCAAAAAAATTCCCACAGCAAAATGTTTACGAACAGAAACAACAGCTGTAGGTAGTTGTACGACCTAAACTTTCACCTACAGATCAAACACTGATGAAGGTTCACAAAAGAAATAAGCAAGTCTGACCTGATCACATCTGGGAGAAGCTTTCACATGCATTATTTACAAAGATCATTAAAATAATCAGATTATAATCTGGAGAAACTACAGTCAAGTCAAAGAAATACAGTCCTCAGAAATAAAGACAGCTTGGGTGGTCAAAAGTAGCATGCGTAAAATTCTGTGTGACCTACTTTATACGTGACTGAGAAAGTTTAAAAATGCAAGAGAAAAACTTCTTTTCTGAAAGAAAAGAAAGAATATAACTTTTCTACAGCACCTCTCAAGATAAAAATCACGAGGCGCTTCACAAAAAAATAATTAAAGTATAAAAAATATTTTTTTAAATGATTAAAAATATGTTTAAAATGACAGAATAATAAATTAAAATTGTGATAAAAATAATGATGTAAGGAAAAGGAGAGAGAAAATAAATGGGAAAGAGGGAAATCAGTGGGTCCTGAGAAGGTGGAATAGGTGAGGAGACAAGCCCCCACAATGAGTCTCTGTGTTTGTGTATTCTTGTTTGGATATTATTTGTGCAATTGTTGGACGAAATGACTTGCTGTGGCATTAATTGCACTAATAGAGCGTCCAAGGAGTCTCCACTTCATTATTTTCGATAAGTAAAATTATATTTATGTATTTTAGGTCACTGCTGAGCTGAGCTTAGATTTTAACATGTACTGTTTAACCATGAAAATTAAATGTAATAGGGTAAAACCCAGTGCATTTAACATAATGCTGCACTTTAGAAAATGGGTTGAAATATAACATGTTGGTGGAGCTGGGTTCTGACTATCGGATTGTGGAGCTCTCGGGAGACCGATGTTTTCCACCCGTTCTCCCCTCCCCGCAGCTCGGCGCATCTCTGTCTGATCGCGGCTTCTGTTTGATGCGCGGGCTTCCGGCTTGTGGAGTTCTGGGATGGAAACCTTTCCACCCGGTTCTCCCCAGCGGCAGCTCTGCGCATCTCAGATCGCAGCGGCGCTTGTCTGCTGTGCGGCTGCCGGTTTGTAGAGCTCTCGGGAGACCTCTGTGTTCCACCCGGTTTTACCCAGCGGTCAGCCCGGCGTACCTCTGACTCAGAAACTCTGGTGTTGTGCACAGTTAACTCCGGTTGTAGCTAGGTTGCTACCTCCGTTAGCTTAGCTCCCACCTCCGCGTTAGCTTTGGGTTAGCTTCAGGTTAGCTTGTAGCTAGTTCGACCGGGTGTCATCAGCTGATCCCGGCCTTACAGCCCCACCCTCAGCTGCACCTCTCTTCCCTTTTGTGGAATTGTCTGGGCTGGACGGAACCTGTGACACGGTCAAAATGGCGGTGGTGGCCACCTCCCATTTATCTTAAAAAATGTGTTATTGGAGTCTATGGAAACCCATTGTCCAATATTTATATGTCGATGTGGGGAGAGCAGAACAAGGAGAGGGTGATGAAGGTCACACCAAAGCCTGAACAAGTGAGTTTTCAGCTGCTTTTTAAAGGAGACCACTGAGTCCACTGATCTCAGGCTCAGGGGGAGAGAGGTCCAGAGTCTGGGGGCCACAGCAGCAAATGATCTGTCACCTTTGGTCTTTAGCCTGTAGGCTTTGGTCACTGGACCTCAGGGACCTGCTGGGGGTGTAGGGACTAAGAAGATCACCAATGTAAGATGATGCTTGTCCATGTAAGGCCCTATAGACCAGAACCAGGATCTTGAAATGAACCCTGAAGTTGACTGGCAGCCAATGAAGCTGGAGGAGAAGCGGGGTGATGTGGGTGTGTTGGAGGACTTGGTCAGAAGCCGAGCACAGGCATTCTGAATAGGGATGCAACGATATCACTTTTTCCAAACCGATACGATACAGATACTTGGATCTGAGTACTCCCCGATACCGATTACCAATACTAATACTTCTACCACACACAAAAAATGCAATGATTTGGAATACAGATTTTATTTTTTTCTCTGCTTTCAACAGGAAAAGACTGAGGTAGATAAAAAGTAAAATATATGAATGGAAATCGTCACAAAACTAAAATATTAGGTGAATAGAAATGACAAGTTACAGTGAGGCCATTTTCAAGCAACTGCATTGGTATCGGTTAACTTTTACAGATACCGATACTGGTATTGGTATCGGTGCCGATACAGATACCAGTATCGTATCGGTGCATCCCTAGTTCTGAACCACCTGTAGACGGTTCAAGGAGGTTCTGCTCAGACACGTGAAAAGAGTAAAAAAGTAGTCTAAGCGTGAGGAGATGAAGTTGTGGAGAACTGTCTCAAGTTCAGAGCGGGACAGAATGGGACTTAGCTTAGCAATGTTCCTGAGATAGAAGAAGAAAGAGCGAACAAGAGAACTGACATGAGAATCCATGGAAGGTTTGGTGTGAGAAGCAAGCTGACCAAGAGAGTCTCTGACTTTGGGAACCAGCTTGTCCGGAGCACAGATGAGGATCTCAGTCTTATCTTCATTCAGCTGTAGAAAGCTCCCAGCCATCCAGGTTTTGATAGAGTCTAAGCAGGTGTGTAACAGCTGCAGCTTAGACATCTCATGGGGCTTAAAGGAGATGTACAGTTGGATGTCATCTGCATAAAGATGGTAGGAGATTCCTTTGAAGGAGCTCAGTATGTGCTGAAGAGGAAGTAGATAGAGGAGGAAGAGCATAGGCCCCAGCACAGAACCTTGTGGGACACCAAGGATGAGGGAGGTGGTGGAGGACCTAAACTTGGAGACGACCACAGAAAAGGAACGCTTAGACAGATAAGAGGTGAAACCTCTCATAAAAACGTCACAATGTGGAGCCCTTCTTTCTCCAATCTGCAGTTTCCAGTGTCTGAGGCCTTCTGGTTTAAACCAACAAATCAGCAAGCTGCTCATTAGCACATTCATGCCCTGACCAAGTGGGAGGTCTTTACAGCTCTTTTCACAGCAAGGCTGGTTAAGGGGGTTTAGAATGGCCTGTATCAAGGCTGCTGGGACAGATGAAAGCCAAAACAGAATCTCTTATGCTTCTTAGAGATTCAAAGCACTGTTTTCGATTGCTGATTAACTGCATTCATTGTCCCCTTTAAAAAGTAAAAATGTAATCAGTAACTTAATGATCAAAAGATCAATTTCCAGATTTCTCTCAAGGCTGGGTTTTATTGAACACTTGTTTAACTCCATAACATGAAATTAAGGTTAATAATATAACTTAAATCCCAAAATCTTCAGTTTTACTAAAGTTGGTTGAAGCAAAAATGAATACACCCCACAACAAAAACTACTACATCTAGTATTTTGTATGACTACTGTGATTTTCAAGGACAGCACCAAGTCTTCTAGGCAT